TTTTTTTTTATCTCAATTTGCTAGCCTTCTGAGATCCGAGGTTTCTAATTTCACTCTGAAAGACGAGCCTTATGGATGTCTGAAGTAGTTGCACTAGAATAATGAGGTTTTGTAGTTCTTATTGTGCTAATGTTATTTTATTTGTGTACCTTTTTTCTTTACTAGTTTGTGGTTGAAGAGATGTTGATTGGTCACGCAGATCACATATCGGAGTCTAGGTCATTTAAGGATCAGATAGCTGACTCTGGGTCTGAATTAGTTGATGATGAAGAAGAAGATTATTTGGAACAGATACTGTACTCAGCATCCTTTGAAGAGCTTGCAAGCAATAGCGTTAAATACGACACAGTCATATGGCTTGCTATATCATTGCTACTGGTGTTGGCTTGGGGAATTGGCCTTTTTATGTTGCTTTACCTGCCCATGAGGAGATATGTGCTTCAAAAAGATTTGTCTTCTCGCAGGTTATATGTTACACATACTGAAGTGGTTTATAAGGTATATAAGAGTTGTTCTGCATAATTGTAATTTTGTGATATGAAATGAGTTTTGTTACGGCAAGTGATGTTTATTCCCTTTTTCCCTTGGTCAAGGTATCAAGGCCTTCATTTATACCATTTTGGGGGACTGTAACAATTGAGAGGCGTGTACCTCTTTATCTGGTGATTGATATTATTATTGAACAAGGTACTGATGCAGGCATACCTGAAATTTTTCTTGCACCCTATTTTAGTACGCTTTCTTTAAAATAATTGATCTTGCTTTCTTGATATGTTTCGCGAGACTTGAATGTGTGTGTGTGTATCCATCCTCCATTATTGCAAAGAATAATGAAGTGTTCTTCTAGAAAATGGTTTATATTTTATAGTCTGTTGATTATGTTGTGTGATTGAAAGGACTGATATGAATGCCTTTCTGGACCCTACAAATTTTAAATTTTGAAATAAATGTGTAATTAGATTTGGATAATATTTTTTTTTTTTTTTGTTTTTGAAGACTAACACTCTAGCTCATCAACTTTTACTCACAATTTGTGAGTTTTATATCTTTCAAAAGAGTGAGAGGGACTATGGGGTTTCGAATGGCTAAAACTCATTGACTAAATACTAATAACGAAGCACATTTTAGCTTGTGCTTAAAACCTTACCTACATTATGTTTGTTATGTCTTATCCTTTTTTCTTTGACTTGATTTTCTCATTTCAATGTCCAGGTTGCCTGCAGTCTATATATGGTATTCATACTTTTCGACTTGAAAGTATAGCACATGGAAAAGCTGCTACTGTAGATGAGCTACAAGTTCAGGGAGTTTATGACCCGTCTCTTTTGAGAAAGGTGAAACAAAATGTTTCCTAATATGATTCTTTTTATTTTTAGAGCCAGATTGTAATCTTCAGTATCATTCTTTACATTTACCCTGTAGGAATTCTTATATCATTATACTGCCAACTACTAACAANTTTTTTTTTTGTTTTTGAAGACTAACACTCTAGCTCATCAACTTTTACTCACAATTTGTGAGTTTTATATCTTTCAAAAGAGTGAGAGGGACTATGGGGTTTCGAATGGCTAAAACTCATTGACTAAATACTAATAACGAAGCACATTTTAGCTTGTGCTTAAAACCTTACCTACATTATGTTTGTTATGTCTTATCCTTTTTTCTTTGACTTGATTTTCTCATTTCAATGTCCAGGTTGCCTGCAGTCTATATATGGTATTCATACTTTTCGACTTGAAAGTATAGCACATGGAAAAGCTGCTACTGTAGATGAGCTACAAGTTCAGGGAGTTTATGACCCGTCTCTTTTGAGAAAGGTGAAACAAAATGTTTCCTAATATGATTCTTTTTATTTTTAGAGCCAGATTGTAATCTTCAGTATCATTCTTTACATTTACCCTGTAGGAATTCTTATATCATTATACTGCCAACTACTAACAAAGGGGGTGCCATCGTCTTAAAATGCTACAATTGGTTTGCAGATGATCATAACAGAGGCTTCAAAGATCACACAAGATGCAAGAACAAGTGCGATGCATGCTGCTCCAATCACAGATGTGGAAAACATCACTCGTATGCCAGCAGCTACTGAAGGATCTGTTGATTTGAGATCACCATCAAAAAGTCTGAAGGTAATGCTAGACCTCCTCTCATGCACCCTAGCAAATTCACCCTTAAGGGGTTGGATGAATGCTGATCTGTGTACCTTTAGTAACTTTGGTTGTTAGTTTTATGATCTTTGAGCTGGTAGGAATATGACCTTTGACTAACATAGAATGATTTGTAGCCATAAGTGATCTTTGTAACAGTTGATTTGATTAACATTGAATTGTACTCTCATCTGTAGACAGCAGGCTCATCGCATGCTTCACTGGAGCGCAGAGTAGCTGGAGGGTTGCTGCTTACTAAACTTGAAGAAGTCAATAAATCAGTAAAGGTTTGTGTCTTCTCTTAATAGAGCATAATTCTATTGAAGAAATTCAGATTTTTGTCACTCTAACTAGATAGAAGCACCATTTCTAAGTTTCTTCTTGCACTAGGAAACCAAAACATAACTGTTTCTTCAGAAAAAATTATGTATTTGTTGACCATTTACTGCTCTCAACTTCATTAGCATGGTCTTATTTAATAAATCTCTGTTCTTCCCCTCCCTCAAAAATCACCCCACTGGCATGAGTGATTGTTTGATCACAGTAACGTAACAGAACAGCACGTCTAGGAACTGCATTGTTCAATTCTGTTTTAGATTATTTGCATTCATCTTTAGCTGACTTGTTTTTATTCTGTGTTTATTTTGAGCAGAGACTTGAGCTGCTTATTGAGAAGTCGCATGCTTCTCCCTCCATCAGATGAAGGCACCATAGTTTAGCACTGCAAGAATTAAATTGAATTGAAAGGAGTTTTCAAATTACTAGAACCTTATTTAACTATGGAAATAGTAAATAATGATTTCATTATGTTAGTGCAACTTAGTCACTGCTATCAATGACTGACTCTAGAAAATTCCGGCTGAGGATTGTAGATTTTAGAACCTCAAATTTTGATTGCATTATTGTCTTTACTATTTTCTTCCATACTAGATTTTTGATTGTATATAGCCCAATTGGTATATACCAAAAGCCTCTATTGGTTTTTCCTTCATATAATAACTAAGTTTTCTAATTGCTTCCATTTTCATTTTGTGTCTTTATTATTCGTCCAAATAAAACTCCTATTCACACAAATTTTTTGTAGATATAATTTTTTATGGTATTCTTACACCTATTGTAAATTCATGCATATCTTAGAATTACACAGGAAGTATTACTCTTTCCAACTCTATTTCATATAATATACATATCATATATATGATATTTTGTTTACACCATGTCATGAATAAAGGGTTTACTTGCTCTACATTCTAGTTTAGATTGTGTTATTTTGATACTCTTCTTCAAACCTTAATATGTCATTTTGTAAAATCTATCAAACTTTATTAATTTTTTAGTAAATTTCCTATTTTATTCTTTTTAAACTATTTTATACTAAAATTCACATTATATAAACCCATATATATGAACATAAAATGATAGTTACGGGGTTTTGGTAGGAAAACAAATGGATGGAAATATATTGAAGGTTGAATAAAAATAACTAAATAAATAACTCTTGCCCGAAACATGTTATATTCAATATTTATTTTTTATATTAAATTAAATAAGATTACATGAAACTCCCCTGAATTTGTAACCTAAACATGCTTAGCTCCACTCTTTGCAATTTCAAAATGTATACTTATTTTTTAAAATTAAATATAATGTTTTATCAATGCAAAATATTCACTAATTTTATTAATAATAAATAGCTATCAGAAAACCTTATTAACTGTTTAGTAAAATCTTTTACCTATTGTTTTTCTATGGTAGAGTTGCAATCTGAAACTATGCTTATCACCTTTAACACAAGATTGAAATTACACTAACTTTCGAAGGATGTGAAGTGTATTAGTCTTTTTCTAGGCTAAAATAGTGTTTTCAAGGTAAGAAGAACATATAAATTAAGATTAAATAGGTTTTTATTTTTTAAATTTGTACATAAAATTAAAATTTATTAATGTTATAAATTTTAATATATTTTGGTTTCTAAATTTTAAAAATAAATAAATACAATTTTTTAATTTAATAACATTAATACATTAAAGAGTGTTTGATATCATATATATATATATATATATATAT